AATTTTTTTAAAAGGAAAACACACAACTCCCTATCAAATTCCTTTTAAGAAAAAAGAAAAAGGAAAAAAAAAAATTAAAGGAAAACAAAGTTTTTTTTTTTTTTTTTTTTTTTTCAACTACTACTACTACTACTTAATTCTTAATTAAATTTTTTTAAATTTTCATTAACGGGAGCATAACAATGGTTGTTAATTTTACACTACTTTGATTTCTTCATTGTTTATTATCATTATCATTATTATTATTATTATTATTATTATTATTTTCAAACTTTGTTCTCCTCCTGCACGAAAATAAAATCTAATAAAAAAAAAATTGCGTTTAATATTCTTGCCTTAAATTCAACTGTAATAAATAGAAAGCCCCGTGAGTTGTATGGTGGGAGGGGGTCGGGTTGGGGATGGTACGAATAGGTTCGAACAGGTTTTAAGATTTTTACACGTTTTAAACGTTGACACTTTTGTTTTTTTCATAAATCTAGGTACACTACACCTAATTTAATACCTTTAATTTTATTATTTTCATTTTTTTAAATTTCACATTTCACAGGCTGGTTAACATTTGAAAAATTATTTTTTTTTTTACGAGCGATACATGTAAAAAAATGATGATAATAATAATAATAATGCGTTATCATCAAGGACTATCTATCTTTAAAAAAAAAAAAAAATACGGTTCTTTTTGATATGCAGTAGACATTTTTCTATTTTTTACGCTTATTAAATTCTACTACCTTGCGCGGAACTTATGACTGCAGAAACAAATCGTGAAAAAAAAAAAAAAAAAAAAAAAACTTATTTATTTCAATTATTATTATTATTATTTTTCTTTTTTTCATCACGACGACTAATAATAATAAATAAAATTACCCGAAAATAATAATAATAATAATAATAATCTGGCATAATCCGAGGTAAACTAATCGAAAAAACATTTTTTACTTCTTGTAAACGAAAAAAAAACATAAACATAAACATAAAAAATCGTGTTTATCGTGTTTTATAGGTATCAATAGTTTTTTGTTTTGTTTTATTTAATAATAAAAAGTTTCAAGTTGTTTCAAATTAATTAATTTATAGTTTTTTTTTTTTTTTTAGATCTTTGGGTGTAAAACCGGTGTAAAAAAAAAGA